TATTGAATATTGTCACTTGTACCTAGGTACAAGGAGAAGTATATAATACTTCTGTGTCTTCTGTCCGTTGGAAGAGGATGGAAAAGAGTATAACGAGGTGGGAGGGGTCTTTGATTATGTTGGCTGCTTTCCTGAGGTGGTGTGAAGTGTAGACAGAGTCAATGGAAGGAAGGCTGGTTTTCATGATGGTCTGGCCTGCATTCACAACTCTCTGTAATTTCTTGCGGTCTGAGGCAAAGCAGTTGTCATACCAAACTGTGATGCATCCAGACAGGATGCTTTTTATGGTGCATCTATAAAAATTAGTAAGAATCATTGTGGACATGCCAAATTTCCTTAGCCTTCTGAGGAAGTAGAGACATTGGTATGCTTTCTTGACTGTAGCGTTGACGTAGATGGACCAGGACAGATAGTTGATATTTACTCCAAGGAACTTGAAACTCTCGACCATCTCTAACTCATTGATCCAGACAGGGCGCGTCCTCCACTCCACTTCCCAGAGTCGATGACCAGCTCTTCGTTCTGCTGCCACTGACGGAGAGATTGCTGTCTTTACACCATGCCACTAAGCCATCTATCTCCTTACTGTATGTTGTCTCACTGTTGCTTGAAATCTGACCCACTACAGTGGTATCATCAGAAAATTTGTAAATGGAGTTAAAGCTGAATTTGGTCACACTGTCATCAATGCATAAGGAATATAATAAGGAGCTGAGCACGCAGCCTTATGGGCACCAGTGTTGAGGATTATCATGGACGAGGTGATTTAGATTTTATTGTCACATGTATTCAAGTACAAAAGTATATGAATACACACAGCAAATTAGCACACAGCAAATCATCATGAATTTTGAAGATTTGAGTACTTTATGGTTTCTTCAGAATATTCCAGGCAATGGAAGCACTGTTAAGCACAGCCAGTCAGTACCATATTTCATTTGCTAGCTAAGCTATGATTATGTACAAATTTTTTACATGTGCATGAGTTTCTCATTGGAGTCACACACCATGTCATCAAAAGGTAGTCCTTGTCACCCAGTAGCCACTCTCTGGCTGGTTCTGGTAGCTCAAATGCAGTTGGCACAATGGACTTAGTTCGTCTAAGACATCAAAACTGTTGCTGTAAATTGGGCACTGATTGACTGATATGCAAGGTATGATCGCATCCCAGAGGAATGTGGAAGGAATGGAATTCTGTTTGGTTGTGGTAATGTTTGGCACTTGCAAAGCAACTGAAATGCAGTAAATAGCACCCAGCACATGGGGAAGCCAGTAACCTTCACAAAGCCGCTTGCTTGCTCTGTCTGTTTCTATCTAGCAATTAACTATAACCAGCTCTCAGAAGACACAACATTCAATACGAAATGTTACCTCTGCTTTCTCTCCACAGTTGCTGCTAGACCTGCTGAGTTTTTTCAGCAATTTGTTTTTGTTTCAGCCTTAAAGGAGTCAGGCACACATTTTTCATGCACTTAGGAAATACATCCTTACCCTGCTCCAAGGTTGCAGTTGTGGCTAAAGCAGGGGAAAGATTTCAGTGAGGACCTCCTTAGTGGAGTAATAATGACTGAGGCACTGATCTTTACTGAGGTTCAGTTAGGAATATTTCTCCTTGAAAATTTCAGAAAAATATGCCCTCTCATTGAGGACCTTTAGGAACACAGGACTAGCAATAGGCCATTTAATTACATCATAAATGATCTTCTACCTCAATGTCACTTTCCCACACTATTGTCATATTCTTTGAAATCATTTGTTGCCAGAAACCACTACCTTCTGTTTTGAACATGCTCAATAACAGATTCCCCACTTCTCTGAAATAAAGATTCAACACTTTGAGAATGTAGAAATTCCTCCATGTCTCTGTCTTAAATGGCTTATCCCTTATCCTGAGATTATGTCCCTGGTTTTAGAGTCACCAGCCAGAATAACATTTCATCTACATTTGCCTTGTCATACCAATTTTTGAAATTTCAATGACATTACTTCTCATTCTTCACAAATCTAGGTCCAGACTCAAAAGACAATCCCACCACCCCAGGAATTAATATGGTAAACCTTTGTTTAACTCCCTCAGTGGCAAGTATATCCTTCGTTAGGAAAGGACACCAAAATTGTACATAATATTCCAGGTGTGATCTCACCAAGGCTTTATATAACTGCAGCATGGCATATTTACTTCTGTATTCAAATACCTTTGGAAAAGAACGCTTACATGTTGTTTGTATTTCTAATTGGTTGCAACATCTGTATTGTAGCTTTTAGTGATCATGAACAAGGGCTCCCTGATCCCTTTAGACATCTGTATTTGCCAACCTTTCACCATTTAAGATATAATATCCCCTTTTTTGTTTCTATCAAAGTGAATAATTCCACACTAATTCTTTTTAAATTCCTTCTACTACGTTCTAGTTGATTCACTTAGCCTGTCCCAAGTCCCCTTGAAGCCTTCTTGCTTCCTCCTCATAAGTTATCAAACCGGGTAGGAATGTATAATTTGCAAAATTGAAAGTATTACAGTTGATTCCCGTTTCCAAATCATATAGATCATGAACAGTTGTGGACCTAGCAATGACCCTGGCGTCACCTCACTAGTAATAGCTTGCTATCCTGAGAATTTTCAGTTCATTCCTACTCTGCTTTTTGACTGTTGGCCAATTTTAAATCCATACTGGTATATTCCCCCCAATCCCATGTACTCAAAATCTTATTTTCTAACCTCCTGTGAGGATCTTTATCAAAAGCCTTCTAAAAATCAAAATATACCATATCTGCTGGTTTTCCTTTGTGCTAAAAGTAACATCCTCAGAAAAACTCCCACAAGTTTGTCAAACACTATCTTTCTTTCATAAACCCATGGTGACTCTGCTGAATCTTTTCCAAATGTCCAACTACCACATGCTTTACAATAGATTTTAACATTTCCCCATTGGCCAGATTTTTAACCTCTTGCTTAACTCATCTATAACTGCCTGCAATTTCTTTACATTTCTTCAAAATGTACTTTCCTACCTATATTTGTATCATTTGCAAATTTAGCAACCATGTCTTCACTCCCCTCATTTAAGTCATGATGTAAATTATAAAAAGCTGAAGCCCCAGCACAGACCTCTACGAGGCTCTACTCATCACATCCTATCAATCAAAGACCCATTTATACATACTCTGCTTTTTGCAAGCCAGCTAATCTTTTATCCCACATCATGAGCTTTGCTCTCATTTCACAATAATACTTGACATGGCACATTATCAAACAAGATTTTTTTTAAATCAAATATGCTCATCTTCATCTCTCTGTTTTAATTTGAGTGACAGGTCAATACTTTATCGACAATGGTTTGAAAATCGAACTACTAACTATACTTGCTATTACAAGCACGTTGCTATTCTATTTCAAACCAGCTAATAAATCTTTAATTCTTTTACTACATTTTAAGATTACACCAAGGGGAAAAAAAACTGTTTTAAATACATGGAATTGCTTCTTTATGCAAAGTCCAGAGAAACTGAGAGTAGTAGTAGTATGGTTGTGTTACTGGACTAGTTTACCAGGTTTACTGGTAGATGTTTACGAGATGCAAAATTGAACTCTGAGTTGGGGGAAAACTCTCCTTTGGTTATGTATACATAGCACAAAGCTGGTTAAAGTTATTAAATGCCAATCACCTGAACCCCAGATCATCAATGCAGGAATTCTTCAGGGCAGTGTCCAATACTCAAACATCTTCAGCTACTCCCTCATTGACATTCCCTCCCATATCAAGTTGGAACTGAAAATGCTTGCAGATGATTGTTGTGTTCAGTTCCTTCCATAGCGCAGATACTCAAATGGTTTATGTCCACATATAAAAGATTTGAACAACATTCATACTTGGGCTTAGTATGTGTGTGGCATGAGTATTACTTGCCACTTAGAAGTAATACAATCCTTAAGAACAGAGAGTCTAACCATTTCCCCTGACATTCAAATGGTATTATCCACAGCTGAATTGCCACCATCAACATCCTGAAGAGAGATATCGCTGGCCTGAAACTTAACCGGACCAGCCACATTAATAATGGAAATACAGGATCTGGTCAGGGGATAGAAATTCTGTAGCTAAACTCACCTCCCGACTCCTTAAAGCCTGTCCACCATCTATGAGGTACTAGTCAGGAATGTAATGGAATATTTTCCACTTGCAACTTCAACAATATTAAAGAAGTTCAACACTATCCAGGATAAAGCCATGTGCTCATCAAGTGGCCAAACACTATCTTAACATTCATACCTTTCAGCACTGGCACACTGGCTACGGTGTGTACTACAACAGCTCACCAAGGCTCCTTCAGCAGCAACACCCAAATCTTCAACTTCTACAACCTAGAAAGATCAGAATTGCAGACATGTGGGAGCACCGCTGCCTGAAATATTTGCTCCTTGTCATGCAATGATCTGATATGGAAATAGTGTCTTTTTGTTGTTACTAGATCAAGATTCTGGAACACCCTCCCAAAAAGTACTATGAAGTATCTTAAGTACATAAAATTCAACAGTATTAATTAATGGACAGTAAATGCTGAACCCACATCCTGTGAATGGGTGCAAGAAATCTTCACCAACTGCATTGATATTCAATTTGCACTCTGTGATAACCAAACATGTAACACTCTATATTTTTATATTTTCTTAGCATGTCAATGGACCCAGTGGAATTTATTGTGGTCCTCGAGGGTCAATCATGCTGCATGGTATTTGAATTATATACAGCTGGTAGGTAGGTGTTGCGGATCCAATCCTTGAAGAAAATTATTGGACTATTTGGATTTTTATGGTACTCCAGCAGCTATCTCAGAACTATTTTGCTGGTACTAACACACAAATTTCCCTACTTGTCACGGCAGGATTTAAGTGCTCATCTAATACTGTAATCACTACACAACTATTTCAGAAAACACAACTACAGTTGAAATTTCATCTTACTAAAAATGGTTGATTTAAATTTCAACTGGCAACTTACCTCGATGATTCAACCCAAAAGGGTGATGTTGCTGTGTTGACACATTCATTTTTGGTAAGTAATAGAAGGGGAGAAGTAGCCACATCTTTTTTCAAAAGTGGAGTTCCTATGTAAAAGAAATCGTATTTAATTGAGCACAGCATAGATAAAATTCAATTAACCAGCGCCTTTCGTGAAGTCTTGAAATAATGTAGATCATAGAAGCCCTGCAGTGTGGAAACAGGCCCTTCAGCCCAACAAGTCCACACCGACCCTCAAGAGCATCCAATCCAGACCCATTCCCCTACAAACCCACCTAATCTATACATCCCTGAACAATATGGGCAATTTAGCATGGTCAATCCACCTAACCTGCACATCTTTGGACTGTGGGAGGGAACCGGAGCACCCGGAGGAAACCCACACAGACATGGGGAGAATGTGCAAACTCCACACAGACAGATTGTAATATTATTTTGTTATTTGATTTGAAAAATCTGTACATTAAAATATTGGTTCTAATTACCAAGTATTTTTGAGAGGTGTAATTAAAGAGACAAAGTATGAACTTTGGCTGAAGTCGTAACTGAAATTCGTGTTCCTAGTGCACTTAGACAAATACCCTAACAAATGTGTCAGCCCAACTAATACATGAAATGGCCCCTCCATCCGGCCCAGTCAATCAACGTGATCATGGTTGATCTTCAACTTTGAATATATCAAATCATGAAGTATCCCTCTTTGAAAATGTCCATCTTTTCCAAATGATGTTCAGTAATTAAAACCGTTCAATAATACATACTGAAGTTCTTGTATATCTCTGTGAATTATCTGCAATTTTGCTCTTCTGATTCTCCCTCTATATCTGAGGGTTTATAGAATATCCCTAACAGAATGATGGTAACTCTTTGCTTCTAAATTCTAAGGCAGATGGACTTTTTTTTTACAACACTAGAATGTCTTTTTAAATAGCAATAAAACCCAACTTCTCTTTTTTCCTTTCCTATTATGCCTAAATATTTTGTATTCTTAAATAATTAGTACCCAGCCCTCACTATTTTTAAGACACATTTCAATTAGTACTACGAGATCACATTTCCACATGCTATTTATTCTTCTCTATCCATGAGGATCACCAAGATGGTTATTTTGTTTGTCAGGACTTACTGATATTCAATCTCTCTTCTGCAGGTACTTTTCACTTTCTTGCAGGAGGCACAGCGTGGCTGGTTTGTAACTTATAGTCTCTGATGTATTGATTAAACCAACAACTTTTAGCCACTGGTAAGAGAAGATAACTGGCTTTCTTCGGCTTTCAGGTTTTTCTACTACAAATAGACACACCAGTTCCATTTCCTGTGGTCCAAAGGCTTCTGGCAATATCATTCCCACCCACAAGATGTTCAGCTATCCCAGGAGCAAACCACATAAATGTTGGTCTTTGTCATCAACAACTGGTCACCACTCTACAAAGCAATGAGCTAATTGTTGCTAATAAATTTCATTTTGTGCACAAACCCGAGTGTCATGCTTATGCAACTAACCACCTCCACTGCATGAACAGCAGCAATTTAGACACCACTTACAATGAGTTTCAGAAACACGGTTTTTTGAAAAGTGCACAAATCTTCCACAATCCTTGGTTTTTAAAAGTAGTCCCTTTACCATTTCAGCCCACAATAAAAAATATTGAGAAATAAAAATATATGGTCTTTACAAAATCAAGTGAAAGGGAGGGAAAACTTAAAACAATTACCAGATATTGTTCTCCTCTAATTGACATTCTATTGAATTGTCTTGATTAGTACAGGACGAGACATTTTAACAAATACGCCATTTTCAGCAATGGGCAATAAAATTTTAACCCTGATGCATTGATAAATGGGAGTCATTAAGGGTTGGCAAAAACAAAGTTTGTACTGGAGATATTTTCCTTTTTTTAAAACTTAGGCATAGATTACAAGAACTAAGAAGCATATTTTTTCATTCTCTCATGGAACGAGGGTGGTGCTAGCTGCCAGAATTAACTGTCCATCTCTTGCTGCCTTCTTGAACCACTGCAGTCCACTTGCTGTAGAGTAAACCCACAATGCCATCAAAGGAAGAGTTCCAAGATTTTGACCGAGCCACGCTGAAGGAGCAGCAACGTATTTTGAAGCGTGGCTGGAGATAGGCTTGGAGGGAAATATGTAGGTGATGGTGTTCCTATGTATCTGCTGCCTTTGTCCTTCTAGATTGAAGTGGTAGTGGGTTTGGCAGGTGCTGTCCAAAGATCTTTGGTGAATTTCTGCAGTGCATCTTGTAGATAGGACACACTGCTCCTACTATGCTTTAGTAGTGGAAGGAATGGATGCTTGTGATTGTGCTGCCAATTAAGCAGGCTGCTTTGTCCAGGATGGCTTCAAGCTTCTGGAGTGTTGTTGGAGCTGCTCCCAATTGACAAAAGGCAGAATTCCATCACACTCCTGACTTGTGCCTTGTAGATGATGGATAGGCTTTGGGGAATCAGGAAGTGAGCTATCCGCCACAGTAATCCCTAGCCTGACATGCTTTTGGAACCACTGTGTTTATGTGGGGAGTCCAATTGAGTTTCCGGTCAAAGGTAACCCCAAGGATGTTGATAGTGGGGATTCAGTGATGGTAACACCATTGACTGTCAAGGGATGGTGATTCAATTGTCTCTTATTGGAGATAGTCACTGTTTGCCATTTGTATGGTGCAAATGTTACTTGCCACTTGTCAGGCCAAGCCTCAATACTGTCCAGGTCTTGTTCCATTTGAACTGACTGCTTCAGTATCTCTGGAGTTGCAAATGGTGTTGAACATTGTGTAATCATCAGCAAACATCCCCATTTCTCACCTTACGATGGAGGGAAGGTCATTGGTGAAACTTAAGATGGTTGTGCCTAAGACACAACCCTGAGGAACTCTTGCAGAGATGTCCTTGAGCTGAGATGACCGACCTCCAACACCACAACATCTTCCTATGTGCCAGGTATGACTCTAACCAGCAGAGAGTTTATCCCTGATACCCATTGATTCCAGTTTTGCGAAGGCACCTTGATGCCATGCTCAGTCAAATGCAGCCTTGCTGTCAAGGGCTGTCTCTCTTAACTCAGCTCTGAAATTCAGCTCTTTTATCCATGTTTGAGCCAAGGCTGTAATGAAGTCAGGAACTGAATGGTCCTGGCAAAACCCAAACTAGACGTGACTGAGCAGGTTATTTCTGAGCAGATGCTGCTTGACAGCACTGTCGACAACACCTTCCATCACTTTACTGACGATCAAGAGTAGACTAATTGGCCAGTTTGGATTTGTCCTGTTTTGCGTGTACAGGACATACCTGGGCAATTTTTCACATTGTTGGGTAGATGCCAGTGTTGTAACTGTATTGGAACAATTTGGCTAAGGGAGCAGCAGGTTTTGGAGCACAAATTCTCAGTACTACTGTTGGAATGTTGTCAGGTCCCACAGTCTTTGCAGTATCCAGTGATTCCAACCATTTCTTGATATAATGTGGAGTGAATTGGATTGGCTGAAGACTGGTATCTTGATGCTGGGGACTACTGTATGAAACCAATATGAATCAGCCACATGGCACTCTGGCTAAAGATTGCTGTGAATGCTTCAGCCTTACCTTTTACACTGATGTGTTGGGATCTTCCATCATTGAGGATGGGGATATTTGTGGAACATCCTCCTCCAGTGAGTTGTTTAATTGTACACCACCATTCAGGTCTGGATGCGGCAGGACTGCAGAGCTTAGGTCTGGTCTATAGATTGTGGGATCACTTAGGTTTGTCTGTTACTTGCTACTTGTGCTGTTTTACATGCAAGTAGTCCTGTTTGGTAGCTTCACCAGGTTGACATCTCATTTTCAAGTATGCCTGGTGCTGCTCCTAGCATGCCCTTCTGTACTCTCCACTGAACCAAGGTTAATCCCTTGGCTTAATGGTAATGGTTGAGTGGGCAATATGGTGGGCCATGAGACTGCAAATTGTGCAGTACAATTTTGCTGCTGTTAATGGCCCACAGCATCTTATGGATGCCCAGTCTTGAGTTGCTAGATCTGTGCAAAGTCAGTTCCATTTAACATTGTGATAATGCCATACAACACAATGGATGGCGTTCTCAATGTGAAGGCAGGACTTTGTCTCCGCAAGGATTGTGCAGTGGTCAGCCTTAACTAATACTGTCATGGACAACGGAATTGTATAAACCACTGGTCAGGCTACCTCGAAAGTACCGTTTACAATTCTGGTGATCATATTATAGGAAGAAAGAGATCACACTGGAAAAGGCACAGACAAGATTTACAGAATTGGAAAGATTTAGCTATGAGGAAAAATTGCAAAGCCTGCGCATGCTTAATTTGGAAAAGAGGAAGCAGAAGGAAGATGTAATAGAACGAAAAAAATATGGAGAGCTGAGTTAGAATTGGTAGGAAGGCACTGTTTCCTTTAGTAGAGATTTCATAACTGGGCAATTATATTTAAATTAATTTTTGCAAGGATTAGAGGGGAGCTGAGGAGAGAAAATTCCACCCAGAAGGTAATGAGGGCCAGGAACTCAGTGGCTGAAAAGCAAATCCCACTTACAATTACTGCTACTTGCACTTGAATTGCCATAACTAACGAGGCTATGACCAAGATCTGGGAACTGTATTTCAGCTAAATAGCCCTTTTTTGAAGAAAACATCCAAAGGAGCTTCACGGGAGTGTTATCAAAATTAGAATACGAATGACACAAGATGATAGTAACAGAACTGACAGAACAGTCAGTTTTTCAAGGAGCATCTTAGAGAGAGATATGTGGTGAGGCAAAGAGACGTCTGGCAGATATTCCACAGCATACTAATTACAAGTGATTAAAATTAGGCACGCACAAGAAGCTGGAATTCAAGCAGTGCCGTCATCTCAAACTTCATTTAAAAAATGGGCTGAATGGCTTCCTTCGTGTTCTAAATTTCTATAATTGTGTCACAAGGGCGTTGAACGACAACTGGTATAGAACAGCATACAGTATGCAAAGTTTTGGATGAGCTGAATTTTACAGAATGAATGATGGAAAGGCAACTAGAACATTGGGATAACTAAATGGAGAAATGATTAACGTTGAAGGGTTCAG